ACTAGAAACTCAGAAATATGGATGGTAGAGATGGACTGGAAATTGTTTGAAGATTACTTCAAATTACTCTTATGCAACGTCGAGGTTTCATATCGTCATTGTATTTTTTTAGGTTTCCCTATCGTATCGTTCGTAAATATATTCTATGAAAGACTGGTTCTTCCTGGCCGGGGGACATAGATTTTTTTTTCTAAAAGATTGTTATTTACATTCATACAAATATTCTCATCTTTTCTGTTATTATCACAACGTTTCGACCGTTATGCCCTCGTGCTTTCTTCAGGTGTGTGCCGATGCAAGTAAATTTAATGGAATTTCGAACTGAATCTCTTATTTATTATACAATTGTTAATGGTTCTCATACCACTGTCCATGTCTATGGTTAGTTTTTTTTGTTTTTTGTTTTTTTTTAAACTGGTTGGTTATATCACAGTTTTCCCTATTTCTAAATATATACTAACCGACCACTAGATTATACACACAATTATAATATTATCAAATAAATAAAAATAATAATTTAATCTACTGTTATTATCTATTGGCACAATACTGAGGTTAGAACGTTAAGCTTTAAACCTTGTACTCATATTAACTGGCTGCCATTTCTCTTTTCTTCCTGCTACGGCTCCTCCTGACACTTTACTGATGATTCTCTTACTTTATTAATTGCCTCCATCTGTTATTTGTCCATCATATCTCTGCTGAGAGGGACGTCATCGTTTAGCATATGCTCTTATTCCTTCAAACGTCTGATTCTTCATTTTTCATATCTAACTAGAATTTTTGTTTCATTCTACAGTCGCTGATCACCGTTCTTGTTCCTCCATGCATGCCTTATTTCATTTTCCTTCTCTAATGTCGGTTTTTAGATGTTCTCTGTGGTTGCTTTCAGGTCCAAATTTTTTGCCCCAAGCGCATGAGTTATAAAACACACAGAAATAGAGTACTGTTAATCCAGGCAGAGAATATTACTATTAGGCTTAGAACACCGCTAATCTTACGATCAAAGAAGTTAACCATGGTCAAGCTTAGTTAGTACCTAAATGAACGATTGCTTGGGAATGTCTTAAGTTTGGATGTGCGAGTCGTTTGATGAACAATGGCTCAGAATATTTAATTAGAGAACCGAGTTCGAATTCCAGTTTAGTTTGTTATATTCACTTACACACAAATACCATTTGCAAAGTTATGAATCCACCAGACCCCTCCAGCTATGAGTTAATTAGTCCGACTTTTATCGCTAGACCATTATCATTTCAAAAAACAAATTCTTACTATCTAAAATAATTTTTGGCATTAAATGACCTTCAGTAAGTTGATAAGACAAATAGATAGAAAAGAAAGTAAATCAATCACTATAAAAATTAATTTTACTATAGTTTCTTTCCATTAATTATTTAGCTAGAAAAGATTATTTAAGGAGAATTATATCACAATTCTGACCCTTTTTACTAAATGTTGACATTTTTTATTATTTGTTTTGTGATTGAAATGCATTTGACTTTTATTTCATTACGTCATTGTGTAGCAATCTAGCCGTTTTCTTTGTTGATTTCACACGTCATTCAAAATAAATTTAGAAATTAATTCTGCTACGTATGATTCCGACGTCATTTGTACATTTGAAATTTACTAAGGTTATCTTAAACAGGCGAAAAAGAAACTTGAGGCAACAGAAATATAGTTCTATAGAAGATTGCTGAGAATACCATGGGCGAAGCCTTCCAATCACCGGGAGAAATTTTAAGGAAAATGGAAACAAAAAAAAATTTGAAAAATTCTGCGACACATAGTGGGGAAAGGGGCATTAGATAATTCGACACTCACAGGAAATATTAAATTTAACTAACCTAAGGTACTTGTTGACAGAACATGGAATATGAGAGATAGTAAAGGGAATACATTGCCTTTAGCTACAAAGGATAAGAAATTCTGGAGAGTCGTGTCCACACACGTCCTAAATGGACACAACATATAAAAAAAAAGAAATAAGTTTGTAAAATATGGCAGTGAGTAATGGAAAATTTCTGCAGCGGTGAAGAAGAGAACTGAAACAGCATAGAGATGTGTTTCTACAGAAGGATACTGAAAAAAAAATAAACGAAACCTGTGAACAACGTAAAGATTTTCAGTAAAATGGGAACAAAAACGACGCTTGTACTTAGAAGCGGAAGGAGACAATAGAAAACATTGCAAGACATAACGAAAAAAGTTGACTTAGAGAACTTAACATTAACACGTAATTTTGAATGCAATGTGAGCAGTTGTAGATATCGAGTAATCTTCTTAACGGTTTTGTGTAAACGGATGAGAGAGCAGGAATTAGGAGAGATGATGAGAAGAAAATCCTTGCTTTTTGGAGAAACAATGATCGTCCTGCACTTAAACAGGACTAACAGAATAGGAACTACACTCGCGGGCAAATGATTGTGGACATAAAAGTTACGCTCTGCAATTTTAAGCTCAAAAGAATCTGCCCCCTCTAAAAGATTAGTTGTTATTTGGACACTAACATGGATAAAACACGTCAAAATAATTGCTGTCTTTCGATGCCGTCAAATCAAAGAGAGATCCCAAAACCTATTTTCTTTCGATGGTTTAGTTCATAGCAACAAAGTTACTATATTTGTGAGATGAGGTATTTAATTATTTACATGATTTACATTCTTCCTCATCTCCTTTGCCATGTTCACGAAGTTTCGGTCTTTGTAAGCTCCAGCCTTCTTCACAAAAAAACTCCCAAGCCGGCCAAGCATAGAAATGAATACAATATGGGTACCAGTAATAAGGAGTTCTAGAGAAAAGCAATAATAATAACAACAAAATATTGCAGTATCAGCTTTGGTAAAAATGGTTACTGAGACATTAAGTTTATATGTTCCAAACATTCATGCACTGTACGGTACATGGATAAGTGGATAAAAGCGTTGGTTGGATGGATTCAAAGAGTTGTGAGTTCAATATCTGGCTACTGAAGTGGTGAAAAAAACTTGGAGAAAAGGGAGATTACTTGAGTTAAAGTAAATAAATGAGACATCCAGAACAATATACTCAAACGTAATAAAATTTTCAGTTCGAAATCTCAATCACCTGACGAAGGCCGGAGAGTATAACATCTGAAATGACGTGAATATGACAAAAAAGATGAGGACAAGAGTCCGAAGAATGTAAATATAGTAAATTACAATAATGTTAATAGATTAATCCTATTTCATCTTGACCAGTCAAGTACTCTCAAAGCGCCCTCTATTTCCTATATCTTGAAGGGTCTGCTTTCATTTCAACAGTATTTACTGATAAGGCCGAGTCAGCTCATAAAGGATTGCTCATCCAAGATATTCGGCGAAATCCAATCATTTCTTTCTATATGGTTTTCCATCTTCAGCGGTATGCATTGTCTATCGGGTTTTAATAAAACATCTGCGATAACCTTGTCAATTTTAGCACAGCATAATGCGCAGAAAATGCTATTTGCTGAGACAACTGTTCAAGGTTGCAGGTGAATTTCTAATTGAAAGCTGTAATATTAATTAAATTTCTCTCTCGAATTTGTCTTCATTAATATTATCTTTGAAAAATTTAAAGGTATTAGCGATATCACCTAAACACCTAATGCCTTTGCAATCGAAAATGCTTATTTTATATAAGCATAATAAGCAATGTCAATGTATATTTATTAATTTCCTTTCAACTAGATTGAATTAAATTCACTTGAAAAAACGTATCTTGATATCAATTTTTAATTATAATATTTAATTCTTGTTCTTTTACAGAAGATGTCCAAATGAATAATAATTGATCGTCATGAATTAATAAGAACATTCTCGGTTGAAGTCCGCTGTTCTCACATAGAAATAAATGCCGTCCTGATGCTTATATTCAAGAACATTTCTCAACTTTTTAGTGTCAAGAATTATCGACAAAGCAAGATGTGACTAATCATAATAACTGAACTTATAACAAGAATCACACTGCTTTTATCATCCAATACTTTTGATGTTTTTTTCTTATTCCGTTAGTAAATCATCAAAAGCCGAACATTAACAACGCAGAAAAATATTACCATTGATAGAAATTACTAAACAAGAGCTGAATTGAATATGAAAATCAAAAGGAAGCCGACATTTAATTTCTTTCCGTTAATTTCTTTATGCAAATAAAACATCGGAATAATACCAACAAACATATTTGACAGAACACGTTTATAATAGAATTATTGTGTGCAGTAAACTCTTAAATTGTGATTGTGCTAGATATTAAAGAGTTATACTTTTAAATATATTACCTTGAAGATTAGTTTCTTGTATTATGCCATAATCTCTTCTGTATATAACACCAATATTTTTCTTTAAAGAATAGGTGAAGATTTTACTTTTGATTTAGATTATTCGATTTGTTTGAAACGATTTCCTATTGCCCAGGTGACACCCTCGTCCCTGATGCTGAATAAAGTGTTCTCTGTGATAATTTCCACTGTAAATAACAAAGTTTACTTTCCTGGATCATTTTCTACAACTGCGTGCACTTTAGCTACTTCTACATTGGCCGATGCCGAATTGTGGGAATTTTTGTTTACTTCATTGATAACCGCTCCAAACTTCGTATGAATCCTTTCATTGCATCTAGAGCCTTGGTCACAATGTCATTTTTTTTTTGTTTTCGAGAGATGGATTGTTAATTTGTTACTGAATCCACTTTTCAGACCCAGATCTTCAAACACAGCAGGAAATATTTAGTTTTTAAGTGTCACCCTATTTCCATTTCCATCTCTGTTTTTTGTTTTTCGTTTTGTTTTTGCTGTTGTCGCTCTTATTGGTCTTTTATCTTAACAAAGTACCGGTGAGATTCATTGGTAGCAGCAGATCCATCAGAACTAAATGTACGCCAACAAATGTTCCCAATTAACCAGACGAACAAGAATGTAGGATATTTAGTGCTGTCATTTTTATGTTCAGCTCTACTGCTAGTTTACTTTTTATATACAGTATATTTTGGGGCTTACAGCCATATGACATTGAAACACCTGTTCCCGTACGATCACAGAAGTTAAGTTAGGTCGAGCGTGCTCACTACGTAGAAGGGGAACCACCTTGGAATACCAGCTGCTGTAAGCTTGGATGTGTGGTTGGTGTAATGCATAATGCCGTGGAATTGTTAATCAGAGAGCAAAGTTCCAATTCCAGTTGGGTTCGTTATATTTACTTACGCGCAAATAATCTTGGGAAACATATGAATCCACCTCTTCTTCCCCAGATATGGGTTAATTAGTAATATCTGTATCACTAAATAATTATTATCTAAAGAAAATTTTTACAATCTAAAAAATATTGTATGGCTTTAAATAACTAGCAATGGGTTGATAAACCATAGAAAACGAATCAATCAATCGGATTTACAGTCTTGAATTACGGTTACAATCTCAAAATATATTATTTTAACTTTGAATAACTTGTAACGGCTTAATAAACTGTAAAAATGAATCAAACATTCAAAATTATTTTCTGAATTGGTTTTGTAATGTTTTATTATGTACTGACAAATTGCTTTAGATGTTACACGCTTAGATGCGCTAAAAAAGTTTTTCTTTAATATGCCCTACTGAAATGGTGGACTCTCCCGTCGTATTCGACGTATGAGGGTCAAGCAGCTCAGTTCCTAGGAACCGACAGTCCACACACCAGCACATATGATATGATTATAGTGGTGAAGGTTTTGTGCAGAACCAACCACACTTTTTGAAGGGCCGAATACAAAGCCCTGGTGCACTAAGTGCCACAGATTTCTCAAACAACTCTTCGCAGGTTTTGAATTCAGAGTTTTCCTTCTCCTAGACCATTTACCCATAGCTGGAAGGAGAAGAAGAGGATTCATCCGTTTCCCAATAGTATTAGCACATAACTGAATGTAATGGATTCGATTGGAATTTGAACTCGGCTCCCCGATTCCTCAATCCGAACGGCTATCCATTACTTCACTGAAATGAAGGTGTGTCTAATATTTCTTTATATGCGTTCTTTTCAATTGTTGTAAGAGATGAAGTATATTATCAGTGTTATCATTATTAATTTTGCATTGACTTTAATATTCGAAGCTAAAAGAATAAAGGAAATCGGCAAGACTTTTATATTTTTGATAGTACGGTGCAATTGCAGAATTACTTAAATACAACAGTTATATTTTGACGCATAGGTAAATTAATATCAATATCAAACGCTCATATTAAATACCAGGTTGCAAACCTGTCTTGTAGTTGCACAAAAATCGCAGAGACTGAAACGTAGAATCGGAAAAGAATACCCTGTCCAGTGGCAAAAGCTACTGGTTACGCCAGGGGTGGCAGTACCTCCTTAACCACCGAAACTTTGTTATCTCCCCCTGATTGGCGGCTGATTAAGGCAGGGTATCGCACGTGCTTTCACGCGTTGTATATAGAAAATTGAAATGAGTTTAATGACATCATTGATATGTGTATGTGTTGTAATATAATCAACAAAATTATGTAAACATATGTAAGTATTGATTTTCTAAAAATTATTAGGTACACGTATCTTATTTACATGAATTCATTAAATTTCCAAAGCCCGTTGGTGTCGATAAAACTCTGTATAATCTCTCTCCAGTGGGAATACACATCATTGCTGAAATCTATCTTGTCTTCCATTTGCAGAAATATCTAAACCTCACGTCTAACCATATATGTACATCTTTAAGTGACCTACATTATTGACTAAATTCACATGGACCCCTCGAAGAAAGACGTTTAAAATTATTTACTCAGGTATTGTCAGATATTTTTATGGTATTATATATTATGATATTTTATATATTATTAAACTACCCGTGAACCGTTGGATCACTGACGCTTCAGTTTATAAAACATTGAAGTTTATTTCAACATTAAACGAATTGTGTGTGTGAAATACGTTCTTATCGTATAAACAACTCGCATTTTAAAATCTTATTCACTTATAATATTTTAAAACCAGAATATTTTAAATCATATTCACTTGAAAATATTTTTTTTAAATATGTCAAAAATATTTTTAAGTATTGTTTTTTTTAAGGAAAGCTAAAATGTAAATAAACATGCACGCAATTATAGAGAGGTGGAAAGAGGGAGAGGGAAAGAGAGATGTGGAAAGACAGAGGTGGAAAGACAGAGAGGTGGAAAAACAGAGAGGTCGAAAGAGAAAGGTTGAAAGAGAGATGTGGAAAGACAGAGGTGGAAAGACAGAGAGGTGGAAAAACAGAGAGGTCAAAAGAGAAAGGTTGAAAGAGAGATGTGGAAAGACAGAGGTGGAAAGACAGAGATGTGGAAAGAGAAAGGTGGAAAGGCATAAATGGAAAGAGAGAGGTGAAGACAGAGGTGGAAAGAGTGAGGTGGAAAGAAACCATTATGCCCCCGATGGCCGATGTACGCCTGATTTATAGACTTATAGTATTATACACCCGTGACCCGTTGAGTCACTGAAGGTTCAGATTATAAAACATTGAAGTTGCTTTCAAAATTAAAAATTGTTTGTTTGAAGAAAGTTGAAATAAAAATACTTACTGTAGAAACAAATCGTATTTTTAAATCATATTCACTTGAAAATATTTTTAAATATGGCAAAACATATTTTGTAAATAGTTAAAATATTGTTGTTTTAAAGAAAGCTGAAATATAACTAAGGATGCACGCAATCACGGAAAGGTATGAAAAGAGAGGTGGAAGGAGATAGCGATTAGAAGAAAGAGAGGTGGAAAGAGGAGGTGTAAAGAGTGAAAGGTGTAAAGAGAGAGAGGTGGTAAGAGATAGCGTTTTTCTCTCTAGGTCTCACTGTAAATTCATGTATACACACCATTTCCTTCTCCCCCCCTTCCTTCACGATAATAAATTTACATCTTTCTTTGCACCACTCTCTTTATATGAATTTGTGTGCACGGTGGCAAACACACAAGCAAGCAAGCAAAATTCATAGAGTTTTAATATTATATAATGATGACATCATACATATATTATTTTAAACTGACACAAATTTCCACAAGTCTGATTAGCTAAAATATGTCGCTCAAGCGTATTAAGAAAATGTTATACTTTCTTTAATTGGACATGCCAAAAACTAAACAACATAGAAAAAAAAGCTACATTTATCCAAAATTAATACAGTACTGTCGTTCTCATAAAACGATTCTTAACAACGCACACACAGACTGTGAAGTATATCTTTTCCTCTTTATCAGTTCATAGTGAGATAGAAATTCACAGACTATTTTCTCCTATATAATTTTCTAACGATGTGACCTACGTTAGAAAATCTTTCGATATAAATATGAATGTGCTTATTACTGGATAGATATTTACACGTATAACTAGCATTTTAAATTGATTCACTAGCAACACTATTTTACGAATATTTATGAATATCATCGTATTATATATAGATTTAATTACAAGACGACATATTATTAAAATGCAGTAATTACAAATATACAACACAGGCGAGCTTGCGACACGAAAAGCCATTAAGCATGGTCAAAACGAATCTTTCTAATTCTTGCTCTTTGAAGCTGAATTTTATATGACCATCAGGACCTCTATGAATGATCAAACTTTCTCCCCAAAAGATTTAATAACATTCGACCACAAACGTATACTGTGATCGTCTGTGTATCTTTAGTAAGACAATTTGTAATTAGCTAAGTCTTTTCTCAACGTTACTAAAGAAACCAAATCTTTCTACCAGTTGAAATTAACTGTTTTTCGGTCCCAGATAAATGTTAATAGTGAGAGTAGCCTTTTCCATACAACCGGTTCACGTACGATCAGCGAAGTTAAACATCGTGGAGCCTGGTCAGTACCTGGTTGGGCGACCGCTTGAGAATAACGGTTGCCGTAAACTTAGACGTGCAGCTAGTGTAAGGTATAATATCTGGGAATTGTTCTCCGAGGAGTCGAGTTATAATTCCCATTGGGATGGTTATATTCACTTACGTGCAAATACCCTAAAGAAAAAGTATGAATCAAAATCTCCCGTCAGCCATGGATTAATCTTACTAATTAAACCATAATTAAGCTAAAACCATTATTATCTCCTCAATAAAAAAAATAAAATAAATTATTTACAAAATATTTAAATTGCGGCATTCAATAATCCATATAGGCCGATATGCTGTTAAACAAGAAACATTCTATACATGATATATTCGGCGTTCATTCATTGTTACTGTCTATTGTAATTTATAAAATATTTTTCTTAAAACGGTACTTCGGAAAAATTCATGTCTCAATTGCCCTGTTATCGTTCTTTCCAGTATTGATGGACATTTCTTTCCAAACCAATTTTCATGGATAATGTTGAAAATAGATAGATAGATAGATAGATAGATAGATAGATAGATAGATAGATAGATGTGTCAGAATGAGATAGATAGATAGATAGATAGATAGATAGATAGATAGATAGATAGATAGATGTGTCAGAATGAGATAGATAGATAGATAGATAGATAGATAGATAGATAGATAGATGCGGCAGAATGATAGATAGATAGATAGATAGATAGATAGATAGATAGATAGATAGATAGATAGATGCGATAGAATGAGATAGATAGATAGATAGATAGATAGATAGATAGATAGATGCGGCAGAATGAGATAGATAGATAGATAGATAGATAGATAGATAGATAGATGCGACAGAATGAGATAGATAGATAGATAGATAGATAGATAGATAGATGCGGCAGAATGAGATAGATAGATAGATAGATAGATAGATAGATAGATGCGACAGAATGAGATAGATAGATAGATAGATAGATAGATGCGGCAGAATGAGATAGATAGATAGATAGATAGATAGATAGATGCGACAGAATGAGATAGATAGATAGATAGATAGATAGATAGATGCGGCAGAATGAGATAGATAGATAGATAGATAGATAGATAGATAGATAGATGCGACAGAATGAGATAGATAGATAGATAGATAGATAGATAGATAGATAGATAGATAGATAGATAGATAGATGCGGCAGAATGAGATAGATAGATAGATAGATAGATAGATAGATAGATAGATAGATAGATAGATGCGGCAGAATGAGAATGATTGTTGTGACCAAGTAAATGGTTAAAGAGATAACAAATGTGTTACAACTATATCATATATTAAACAGTAAGTACAACAAAGGAGTATTACACGACTAGCGAGTGTGATGTCGGTTAACCCAGCGTTCAATCTATTTGACTGTTAATATTTAACAGCCTCCCCCCACGAGGGATGTATGTGGCACAAGGCCGAGTTTACCGTGGATTCTCCGAGCCCGTAGGCTAGGCCAAAAATATTCCGTTAGAACCTGCATAAATGGGTTCAGGGCCTGTCTACTTCTCCGGACGAAACTTTGCCCTCCGGCGAAGCCGCATCCGGGTCCCTCTCTGCTAAAGGCAGAGAGTTCGACAGTAATGAACAATCTATTCGACTGTTAATATTTAACAGCCCTCCACGAGTGTTTATGTGGCACAAGGCCAGTTTATTGTGGCTACTTCGAGGCTGTAGACTCGGCCAAAAATATTCCCTTTGAACCCGCCTAAACGGATTCAGAGACTGTCTACCTACCCGAACGAAACTTTGCCCTGCGGCAAAGCCTCGTTCGAGTTCCTCTCTACCGAGGCAGAGAGTTTGACGGTTGAACAATCTATTCGACTGATATATTTAACAGTCCCCCGCACAAGGAATGTATGTGGCACAAGGCCGAGTTTTACGTGGTTTTCTCCGAGACCGTAGGCTCGTCCAAAAATATTCCCTTTGAACCCGCCTAGACGGGTTCAGGGATTGTCTACCACCTCGGACGAAACTTTGCCCTGCGGCAAAGCTCCTCTTTGCCGAGGCAGAGAGTTTAACAATTGAACAATCTATTCGACTGTTCCCCAAAGGCCTTCTCTCCTACTAATCTTATAGTATCGGAAGAATCCAACATAGACATTTTAGAGGGAGGACACCACAACAAAGATAGATAGATAGATAGATAGATAGATAACGGCAATGGTATTTTTCCATAAATGAAATCTTCAACATTCATTAACCTAAATTTTAGTGTTACTGTTGACTGGAATATATAAACACTTTTTTTAAGAAGAATTTTTCAGTAAATTAGATTTATCAACTTCACCGTTATAGTTTTTCTGTTGTGGTAGGATCCACCTAATTTGCATAGTGGAGTACCGACCATTTAAATATGGTTGGTACCGGGAAAACGGGAGGAGGAATCAAGAGATTCAATACAGAGACTCTGCCCGACTGCGACTAAGTCAACACATTCTCCAGGAACGGTCTTCCCAAGAATATACAAAAGACTATATGTAAATATTGTGCACACTTTCTTGTTTCAATACATTTTGTTCTACGTACATTTTGTGTTGTATTATTATTCCATGCATTAGTCAAGTTTCAACATTTTCTAATGATGATAACAGGTTTCCTTCCAAAACTTTTGGTTTTGGTTGTGTAGAAAGATAACAACGAGTCTATATCCTTAATTTCTCTTCTAGTTATAAGTGCTACAAATTTTTGTTGTTACTGCTGTTAAAAGCGCCCAAGATATATGAATTTTAACTAATTAGAATGTTGATTTCAATTAGGTTTAGTGCTAAAAGTCTTCTTATATGTTGGCCTTATTTTCGTCGTATGTTCTACTAGGCTTAGCCAATTAAATATAACATGCGCTCGCATTCAATATATTACGTACAAATGATAAGTCATACTGACTCTTAAATATTTAACCATCACATTCACAACTATGGTATATCGAATTTCATCCCCCCACCTTCTAATAACTTTTACTAAATAAAGTTGAACGAAGTTACACCGAAAAGCAACTTTGATACGAAATGTTAACAATTGTAGATCTCGCAGAGTTTAAACATTCAGTTTATTTTACAAGTAAGAAACTATGAGTATAAGTGAATCCTAATCAGATTATTCGATTTGTTTGAAACGATTTCTTTTGGTCCAGGTGACGCCCTTGTCCGTGATGCTGAATAAAGTGTTCCCTGTGATAATTTACACTGTCAATAACAAAGTTTAGTTCTCTGGATCATTTTCTACTGCACTAGGATAAATTCTAAAAGCAAATAATCGCTAAAGTCGATGAAACCGAGGATGTTTAAAATGTAGGTTTTAACGCAGTCATTTCTAATCATAGATCCTAAAATACGGTCTGCTGGCCAAAGCGAAAACATTACAATTTCGGGTAAATAAATAATAAACCGGGAAAATGTGAAGCCAGATAAATTTGTTGATAATATGGCCCGCGTCCATATGGCGACGAAGTTGATGTGAAAATTCAACAAGGAAAAAATGCAGCAAGAATTTTCATCCGTTTTAATATATCTGAACAAAGCATTTACAGCCACAAAAATTATTTCATATATATATATATATATATATATATATATATATATATATATATATATATATATATATATATATATATATATATATATAATATTTACGTTACGTTATTTTATAGATAAAATTTACTTAAGTAATGCTCTGTTTTTTTTTAATTAAAAAATTTTAATTATATTTACCGACTTGAATATTCGAGAAATTTCGTTGAAAATATGCGTTATCCGTTTAACTAAAAACAGACCATTTACTTAAATAAATTGTATCTATGAAATACATATAAACAGAAAATATACTAGACGCGTCACTGTCGTTAAATGGCATAGCATATCAGATCAAATGACGGTTTCTACATAGTAATAGAGGTTCGATTCCTGTCGGAGACATTCAGGCCGGTAATTTTAATTAATATTGTTTGATTAAAACACAGAGTATTTATTTAAATAAATTGTATCGATAAAAATAACGTATAAACAGAAAATATATTATATAATTTTCGAATTTAATCCATATATATATATATATATATATATATATGGAAACTGAAGCCAAAACTAAGTGGCAACAGTTTGTTTAATATTTGAACGCAACATTCAGTCTGTTAGATGGTAACTGGATTATTTATATATCCTCGTTAAAGGGGAATTATGGACAGCAAGTCATATATTTCCGGTTTATTTTTATCAAAACAGATTTTAGTATGGCGGGAATGGTTCTATTTGAAATTATTCGAAATATTCCTTGGTGTCCACTACTAGCGCAGCGGCCTTCTTTACACTGCAATAAGTTAACTGGCGAGATCAAGCTCAAAATTAGATCTCATGACAATAATAGCACCAACTATAAGCACGCATGAGCAGAAAACAATTTGATGAAACTAACGATATGTTATGGCGAAAAAGCGGATAATTTTTTACTTATACTTACATATTCTAACGTTCCCTGCATTAATTCAAAACAGGATTGAATACCCATAGTAGAGCACTAATTATTTATCATAATAAAACTATTTTGGTTCTCACCAGTTGAGGTGCAACTAAATGCACCGAAACGAAGTTGCGTCTTTGTAGTGAGTAAATTGATTTTTATATATGAAAAAAAATTCATTTATATATATATATATATATATATATATATATATATATATATATATATATATATTTACTCCATCTGTTCTTTCTCACATTTGTATATATATATATATATATATATATATATATATATATTTACATCCATCTGTTCTTTCTCACATTTGTTATATATATATATATATATATATATATATATATAGATAGATAGATAGATAGATAGATAGATATCGTTAAATATAACAGACAAGATGAATTTAATTTATTTTTTTATTTAATTTTTCCAGCATTCTTACATATTTTTTGTTGTTAGTAAGTGAGTGCAAACATTGTCTATATTTTCCATTGTCCCAAGCGCTTTTGGCCACTTTTTTAGACATCTTCGCGTGGGTT